GGTTTAGGGTTTAGAGTTTAGGGTTTAGGGTGTTTGGGTTTAGGGTTTACGGCTTAGGGTTTAGGGTTAAAGGGGTTTTAGGGCTGAGGCTTGGGAGTTTAAAGGCTCGTTCGTGTGCAGTCAGGGTTCAGGGTGGTCTTTAAAGAGCTTGCGGCCGATATCTGTTTCTTTCAATTGGGGTTCAGGGTTTGGGGTTTAGGGTTTAGGGTAGGGCTTCATAGAGATCTGTAGGACATTATAGGGTCACATCAGGTTTTTGACCAAGATAGAAGCTGGAATAGTTACCATTATTATCACTTCGGGTTCCTGCTCAGAACTATACCACAACAAACCCCAAAACTTCTTCATCAGGTGCATAGGCTGTCGACCGCTGTTTATGGCTTTGCCGTTTCATGTTTCGACGATGTTTGAATTTTCGGGGGTTCCAATGTTACGTTTTCGGTGAGCCCTAAACCCTAAACCCTAAACCCTAAACCCTAAACCCCAACCCCTAAACTCTAAACGCAAGCCCGAAGATCCCTGAGGGATCAAAACAAAGGAGAATCCCCGAAAGACAAGGTACGCTAAGGCCTAAGGCTTACTTTCAGGGTTCTCAGGTTTAGTAGGGTTTAGGGTTTTATGGTTTAGGGTTTAGGGCTTTGGGTTTAGGGGCTTAAGATTTAGAAGTTAGGGTTTGGGGTTTGGGATTTAGGGTTGAGTAGGTTTAGGGCTCCTCTCCGTCGCAACTGCCTGCGCTTGACATCTCCGGCTCAAAGTTCATATAAAGGAGCCCCTGAAGCAATGAAGCCGCGAGAAGCACTACCAATATGACTACGGGTTCCGGGTTTAGGGTGCAGGCTCTAGGGTTGAGGGTTTAGGGTTTAGGGTTTAGGGAATAATAACTTAGATAGCCAATGGGAGAGCGCTTGTTTAGGCCCTGTATATCTATCTTGGAAAGTTTGAACTGTTTCTGGGCCCGGTTTTTGAAGAAGAGTGATAAGGCCTACGATAAGTTTTTAGTTTAGGGAATTCGGGCCTTAGGGCCCAATTTTCTGGATTCTTACCGCGGTCTGGGAACCTATCCTATGGTTAGGGTGCATGCGGCCGAGACTCTTAGACAGTGGATTCTAGCAGCGTTTGTGGGATAGTCTAGTTTCGTGGTATGGTTTTGTGTAAGAAAGCCTGGCAACCCAAAACAGGGACATGAATTCAGGGCCTGGGTAAACATTTCCCTCCTATTGATCTACAGCTTCACTCTGCCAAGCCCTAGGGACCTGAAACACCTAAATCTTAAGCTGAGGCCCTACGCAGTAGGTATAGGGTTTAGGGTTTAGTGGGGTCAGGGTTAAGGGTTTAGGGTTTTATCCACATGTCGATTACTGTGGAAGTTGGGCTGCTCAGTGGCAAGACAGCCACTTTGCAAGCAGGCTGTGATGAAAGAGTGGCAACACTAAAAAGCAGGGCTGAGGCAGCACTTGGAGTCGGAAGGGGACGCCTGCTGGACTCATCCGGAAGCGTTTTGGATGAAGATTTACCGATCAAGCGGGCCAGGGTCTTGAACGGCGCCTCGTTGACAATGCATCTTAGTTATATTTGGAATCGGAAACAAAATCGAAGTTTTCGGTTACTACAGGTAGAATCTCCAAGAAACAGCTAAAATCGAGATTGAGGTTTTTAGTTACTTCTCTCCCTAACAAGCAGCTAAACTTTGATTTTTTTGCACGGGTACCAAGCGCAGTATAGGCATATAAACAAAACTCAACTGCAACGCACTCGCGGCGCTGTGGCTGCCATTCTTGGCGATGGGTCTGTCGTGACCTGGGGCTTCGCGTTTCATGGTGGGGACAGTAGTGCTGTGCAGGATCAGCTCAAGAAAGTGGAGCAGATTCAAGCGACTGATAGCGCTTTTGCTGCGATTCTTGGCGATGGATCTGTCGTGACTTGGGGTCATGCGGACCGTGGTGGTTACAGCACTCATGTCCAGCATCAGCTGCAGGACGTACAGCAAATTCAGGCCACTTGCGACGCTTTTGCCGCCGTTCTTGGCGATGGATCAGTCGTGACTTGGGGTCATGCTGACCACGGTGGCGACAGCAGTGCTGTGCATGATGTTCTGAAGAGTGTGCAGCAGATCCAAGCCACTCACTATGCTTTTGCTGCCATTCTGCGTGACGGATCGGTCGTGACATGGGGTGATGCAGGCTTTGGCGGTGACAGTACTCATGTGCGGGATCACCTGCGGAACGTGCAGCAGATCCAGGCCTCCGTTGCAGCTTTCGCTGCCATTCGCGGCGATGGATCGGTTGTCACTTGGGGTGATGCTGAACTTGGTGGTGACAGTAGCACAGTGCAGGGTCAGCTGAAAAATGTGCAGCAGATCCAGGCCACTGGCCAGGCTTTTGCGGCTATACTTAGCAGTGGATCAGTCGTGACCTGGGGGAATGCTGAGATTGGTGGTGACAGTAGTGCTGTGCAGGATCAGCTGCACAATGTGAAGCAGATCCAGGCCAATGCCTATGCCTTTGCTGCCATTCTTGGTGATGGATCTGTCGTGACCTGGGGCTATCCTGACTTTGGTAGTGATAGTGGGGCTGTGCAGCATCAGCTGGTGAAAGTGCAGAAGATCCAAGCCACTCAAAGCGCTTTTGCTGCCATTCTTGACGATGGATCGGTTGTGGCCTGGGGGAATGCTGTCTTTGGTGGTGACAGTAGTGCTGTGAGGCACCAGCTGAAGACTGTGCAACAGATCCAGGCCACTGACCACGCTTTTGCAGCAATACTCGGTGGATCGGTCGTGACCTGGGGTCATGCTGAGCATGGTGGCGACACTAGTGCTGTGCAGGGTCAGCTTAAAAACGTGCAGGAGATCCAAGCCACTCCCTACGCTTTCGCTGCCATTCTTGGCAGTGGATCTGTTGTGACCTGGGGTCGTGCTGGCTTTGGTGGTGACAGCAGTGTAGTACAGGCTCAGTTTCTGTCGCACGCAAAAGAATTTTTCGTTTTTGGGAGCTTCATGGTTTAGGGTTTAGGGTTTAGGGTTTAGGCAGTACTATACGAGATTCGCACAAGCGTTTGACGAGACAAGGTATCGAGGGGCTGGCGAGAGTCTGGCTCTGTCCTAGAGTCGTCGACCCTATCTGAGATTCCATTCTGGTTTGGTTGCCTTTCAGGGTTGCTGTCTTTTCTTATAAAGGGCTCATCCTACCCATACACACATACCCAGAGACTCCAATACCCCTTAATTAAGGAATATATCTTCAACTATAGTAGGATCCCCAATATGATTTAGGGTATATTCCTTAATTAAAGGGTATTGGAGTCTCTGGGTAGCTACCCAAGAAGAGGTGGTAGAGTTCAGGCAGTCTTGAGCTCGAGTTGGTCTTGCTAAGTTACAGGTATACCCCTATACCCCGAAACTCGAAACCCCAAATACGCCTGGACCCAGAACTGTAGCCATCTAAAGTTTAGGATTCCGGGCGTGACTCAGAGGATCATGGGACTCAGTAAGCAAGGCTATACCTACCTTGGGTTTAGGGTTCAGGGTTCAGGGTGTAATCAGGGTTTAGGGTTTAGGGTTTTGTTAGAGCTGGGATGTCGGTATGTCCATGCAGAGTCACCGGCCGCGTGATCGGACAGGCAGAGAACTCGCCAGCACTAGTCAGGCAGGAACCATGCAGGGACAATGTCATTGTAGTAGCACAAGAACACGGATAGAAGTAAACATTAAATCACTTTCAAAATTGGGATAAAACAACTTAGAATCCCTGACCCCTAAACCCTAACCCTAAACCCTAAACCCCCGAAACCCCCAACCTCTCAACCCCGAAACCCGAAGCCCGAAACCCTAAACCCTGAACCCTGAAACCCCGAAACCCTAAACCCTAAACCCCTAAACCCCGAAACCCTAAATCCTAAACCCTGAACCCCGAAACCCCGAAACCC